AATTTCTACCATATTTACTGGGCATCATTTAAATTGGGCCTGTCTCTGTCTGCAGTGTGCTATTTTGGTTTAATGAATATGTATTATAGTTTGCCTTGTCATTTGAGATGTAGATTTCTTCAGTCACTGCATAGACTTACATATCTGAATAGGTCATAATTTAGGAAACTATTTTCTCTACAGCAGGGTACCTAGGTCATTTCCCACCTGGGGTCATCACAAATTGTGCTATGATGAACTTTCTGTGAGTACATTTTCATGTACATTTGTAAGTATTTCTATAAATACATGGATGTAACATTTGCTCAATGGTATTTATATTGACAATAGTAATTGTTACTCTGAAATTATGCTGTTTTTTGATATTTTGCAGAGTCCCCCCCATATCCTTATAGACATTACATAATGGAATATGGTATCTCCTTGATATAATTTTTACTTCCTTTCTGATGAAGTTGACATGTTATATTATCTGCTGGACATTAGTATTTCTTCAGTAAATTCTCAATTCCCTTTATTTACTTACACATGCAATTCTTTGAGATGAGAAAACCTTTTATATATTCTGAAGATTCGTTTTTAGATTGATATTTCTCCTACAATCTGTGACTTTTATAACTTCATTGTGAAATATTTTGTCCTCAAGATTTAGAATTATTTATTTTTATTCATTTTTATAGTGCTAAGAATTGAACACAGACTTCATGCACACTAGGCAAGAGCAGTGCTCCTGAACTCTACCTCTTGTACCTTAGCTTTGATTTTTATGTTAATAGTTCATTAATTTCTCTTAAAACTTCTAGGGTCTATGCATATCTTTCTGGCCTGTTAAACAGTTCTATATCTTCTTTTAGCACTTTTACAGAATATATACATTTTTCTCCTTGTCATGATTAGCTAAATAATATAAATAACAACTATTTAAATAGCATTTACATTGGGCATCATAATTAATCTAGACATAATTTAAAATATATGTGTAGGCTATATGGAAATGCTAAGCAATTATACAGAAGACTTCTGTATCATATATTTTGTATCCATGGGGAGTGATAGGTCCTTGACCAACCCACAGCAGATACCCAGTGATGAATATATATTTTTTGTTCTCAGACAATCTGAATTCTATTTTTCATGATACAAAGTAGGAATATTTTCAGAAGGGTATTTTTCTAATTTAACCATTTAACTAATTTTTTTATTTTGTACCGGGGATTTAACTTGGGTCCTTGCACTTGCAAGGCAGGCGTCAGAACCACTGAGTTAAATTCCCAGCTCTGTAACTAATTTGAATAGAAAAGAAAAGGAGTAAAACAAAAATAGGTATAAAAATAAATTGCCCTATGTTCAGAACTACATTGCCTTAATGAAGATTTATTGTGTTTTGATATACAGTAGGGCTCATTTTCATCCTTTACCGTTCTTTTTCAAATAGCTAATTATTTTCCATAAAAATTGTGAGTGAAATCTTAAAAGTAGTTTACCTCTATTCATAAGTTAAATTGGAGTAAGTGGAAATTTACAGTAATGTGGGAGCACAGATAGCTTTATAACATTAAAGATTTTAATTCAAGAATATAATATGGCATTATATATGTGTTCTTTTTTTGTGTTCTTCACTTTTACATAGAAAGAAATTATTGCACATTTATAGATAATTACTGGACATTAGTTTCTTTTTGGTTATATTTCTAAAGCCATTTATCTTTAAAAATCAACATTGCCTACAGTATTCTTACTAGTTTTAATTTTTCTTTTGAATTTCTTGGACTTTAAAAGCAAATGAAGTTTTAATCTGTAAATAATAGAAGTTATGACTCTCTCAGCTATTTATAGCTTTTTCTGCATATTTCACAGTTTACCAGATTATTAGCAAGCTAAAGATGAGAAGCATCTTGCATTATTTTTTTCTATAGGATATGTTTGTATAGCCACCTTATTGTTAGATGTTGCAAAAATTATCATTTTTTAATATACTATCTTACGAGTTTTATTTGTTTTACATAATTTTAGAATAGTCAGAATGGAACCAGCCTAATGTGGGGGAGAATATTTTGGTAACAATGTTTAGGACCTTGAAAAGGAAATGAGGAAAATGTTGATTTAAACACTTGTCCTGTATGCCACATATACACACATGTGAATATGCACACATTTATTTACTTACTATGTTCTTCAATTGTATACTTGGACCTAAAAAAGTATGTGAGTGGCAAACACTAAAGGGAAATTTTCCAGTTATATAGTTAGTGGTTTCCAGGCAAGACATGTAAGACCCAGCCCCTGATACATTTGTGTGTGCGTGCGTGCATATGTGTGTATATGTGTGCATGGTGTTGAAGTTTACTTCCCTAAGCATGTTATTCCAAAACACTGTCTATCTTCCTATGTGCTCATCTCTACTTTTTGTTGTTGTTGTATGGTCTTATATTTGGAATTCATTGTTCTCTTCTGCAGTTAAATGCAGGAATTCCCGTTCGTTCTTTGAGATTCACTCAAACATCCTTCCTTCCACAAAACCTTTCTTTTCTCAGGCAGTTAAAAAAATCAACTTGAAAAATAATCCTCCATTACATCAGCTGTCACTCACATTATACAGTAGTTGTTCATTTTGATTGTGTTCCTTCTGAGTTGTGAGCTACTTAAAAGTATGCCTCTACAATGTCTAGCATAGACATTGGTACTATATAACTTTTGTTGAATGAATAAATGAGAATAAATGATTACCAAAAATATAAGAGAAGTGAAGGATCAAAAGGGCTAAGAGAAAATCTTAAACCTAACAATTTAAGGATAATACTAGAGAATTCTGTGGAAGAGGCCTCAGAAGCATATTTTCTGAAATGATAAAAAAAGTACTAACTCCAAAGTATGTGAGTTGTGCAAAATATGATGAATGTTTAAATTTTTAAAAATGTATTACAGTGCTAGACATAGTACCATTAATCTCACTCAGAATGCTCTCCCTTGCTCCCAAACACATGCATCCCGTTTTTCTTGCCCTCTTTTTATCAGTGTCTTTAGTCCACTATGGTAGCTGTCTTGATGTCTTGAATCCATTCAGAATTCACCTTTTGTAGTCATTATGACGTTGGGGAAGAGCCAGAAGTTGCACAGTGCTGGATAAGTGATAGGGTCAGCGAGGACTCGCAGTAATGCTTTCAAGCCTGCCTTTCCAATGGATGGCACTTTGCAGCAGTATCCACCAGACTGTTGACCACCCCTCATACAGCCACGTGGAAGAGGACTTCCAGAACTGTTTCACCACATTGCAGGAATGATGGATTAAATGTATTTGAAGCAAGATGGAGTGTTTTGAGGGCAAGGAATGGCAGTGTGTCTTTTATTGCAATAATTTTTAAAAATGTAAATATTCACCCTACATTTGATTACATCCTGTTCATGTATACATTTTTGATGCAGCAATGTTTACTATGGCGGCAAAACATGGCAGAGGCCAAGCAAAGATCCAAGTGGCATGGGCCTATAAAAACATGTTGAAAGTCAGTAAGAAAAACAGCATCCACTTAGGTACAAACCTGACTAAGGATATAATTTTGAGAAGTATATGCTATTAGAAACTGTACCACATTTGTTTCTATCTAAACAGTATGTAATATTTGCTTATAGATTATCATATATAAAATACAAAGCTGGGCATGGTAGTGCATGATCCCACACTCTGGAAGGCTGAGGCAGGAGAATCTGAAAATCAACCCCACCCAGGCCAACTTAGTGACTTCATAAGAACCTGTTCCAAAATTTTTAAAAAGAGCTGAGTACGTAGCTGTGTTCAAGGTCCTGCATTCAATCCCAAGTACTGCCAAAATGAAGAAGGAGAAGGAAGCCAGTTTTCTAGTGATAATCCGTGTAAAACTTATTTGGAATAGCAGGATTTTGGAGGCAGTAGACATAATTTCTTTCATCTTCCACATTGTTTTGCTATTTTTATTGTAGTTATGTTTTGTTGTTTATCTTTTTATTTCTGCAGTAGTGGAGATTGAACCAGGAATGCCCTACCACTGAGCTACATTCCAAGCCTTTTCCAACCTTGTGATGTGCGTGTGTGTGTGTGTGTGTGTGTGTGTGTGTGTGTGTAAATTTTCAGAAGTTCAGGGAGTTTACAGAGCATTTTCAGCCACAGTTTAGATCTTCAGTAATTGTTGAATTTAATTGACAGGTAGGGATACTAACTACTATACTAAGGAGTATCCATTTGTTGAATTTAATTGGAAATGTCAGTTTTTGTCATAGCTAATAGCTAGACTTGATGAATTATGCATTTCTTTTATATATTCTTAAATATTGAGAGTTATTTTCAAATAATACAAGTATTTCAGCATAAGTAAGGATAATAAAATTTCCTATGACTTAACCTGAATTTGGGTCAGAAATAAAGACCTGTGAATTTCCTATTCTTTCAACAGTTTTGAACAATATTTTGTTGGCCATTTTATAGAAAAGTCCAATTAAAATTTCACTTAAGTCTGTGTACACATAAAATGAGAGCTGTTTAACATAGCCCAGGATAATACAGTATAGAAATCAGCTTGGGAGATTGTGATTAAAATGTAATTGTCATATTGACGCATTGTACCCTTGGGACTGGTTTGAACCATATCATGAAATGTATGAGTGTTTTCCTACATAGCTTCAATTGGTTTTGAACCATTTGCTTATGTGACATTTGTTTTATCAAGAAAGAGCAGAATGTTGGAATTAATATGGTATATTCTAAGGGCATAGAAGGTAACGAATACTGTTCTTCATTTAATATATTCTTTTGCTAATGTTGTTTTTGACTCATTTAAAAATTGCTATTTTTATTATATTTGATTCATTTTCCTAATGTCTCAGTTAATTTTATTTAGGAGACATCACACTGATTATTTTTTAAGGTATATAGTTCTGGGTATCTAGAAGTTTTTCGTGGTTGTTGTTTTTCATCCAGAAAGCTGTCCTTTCTATGTTATCAATGTGGTTTTGGCCTCTTATTACAGGTTTTCAACACTTATTCCAATGAAGACTATGACAGGAGAAACGATGAAGTTGACCCTGTGGCTGCATCTGCCGAGTATGAACTTGAAAAGCGTGTAGAGAAGCTGGAGCTTTTCCCAGTGGAACTAGAGAAAGGTATTCAGCCACAAATGTGTAACTGGAGCAACAGCACTCCAGTGTTCCCAGCGTTGTTGCGTGGCTGTGTGAGTGATGCAGATGTTTTCTGAAGTGGAGCCTTTTCAGTAAGGGCTGGATTATGTTTTAACTCTCACAGACAGTAGACAATAGAAATCTATTATCTTTAAAAATTAGTCAGTGTGGATTTTAGGTAGAGAATAGATTGAAAGATTCTGCATCTCCCTCACTCCGAACTGAGCCCCATCTTCTCGTGCTCAGCTGGAGTGCTGGTGAAGATAGGCATAAGTCTAAGCTCATTGGTGTCCTGGTGAAACTGCAGGAGAGAGAGGCCAAGCCAAGAGCACTTGGGGCAGAAAGTTGTTTGTGTGTCCTGGAGGATTTGTGTTTTGTGTTTTGTAGATGTAGAGAAGTTTCAATCAGAATACAGTGGGAGTGGGAGAAGCCTTCCGAATAGTATGAACATTTAGGTGGGAGGCCACGGGGCCCAGGAAGACTTAGCTAACAGGCTTCTGAGGGAAGAGGGCTGTAAGAGAGCAGGGGAAGAAGGCGCTTTATACTGACCTCTCTGATGACCTCCCTTCTACAGTAACCACTGACTACTTGCTAAGAGGCCACTGTATTTATCGTCATGGAAGAGGAATGCCAAGGAACTGGGCTGTGACACAGTGAACAGAAAATCAACTCTATTGAGAGGGCTGTGGAAAAAGACACGATAACTTGAATAAAAAAGAAAAGAAACAAAACTCACTCAACGATATTCAGATGTAGTTTTAAAAAGACATTCTTAGGCAAATCAGCAAACGGCAGTAATATCAGTGAGCTTTTCCTTTGCTGGACAAAATGCCCACCCAGCTACACAATTTAAAGGAAGACAGGTTTGGTTTGGCTCACAGCCTCAGAGGTTCCAGCTTATTTTAGTTATGAAGGAGAAGCCTAAAGCACACAATAACAGTAAAAACCAGACTGATCCCACACTTAGCTATAGGGTGGGGAAATCCTGATATTCAAAAATAAAGCAAAACCCATACCAAATACCAGACCAGAAAGTATCAGCGCAAACAAACAAGCCAAGGCATTTGAAAGGGCAGAGTGACGAGACTAGTGTCAGACTCACTTGCAGTGCCAGAAGCGGGGAGATGTATCTATAATTTCATATGTCCTAAGAATCAAAAGGACAGGGATCAGAAATTTGTTTCAGTGAGAGATTGCATATACCTATACGGGTAAAAGAAATATTTTTGCCAATGTGTAAGATTTATAGAACACATCAACTATATACTTTATCTGCATAATTTCATTTTTAGTTAGCAGAGAACAACGACAAAAAAAGACAACAGCTTGTTTAAAACAGCACAGGTGGGAAAAAAGGTGAAAATTTTAGGAGGAATAAGCATAAAATTCCATGAATGAAGAAGCTGTGAGGAACACCAGTTTTTAAACATGTCTCACTAGTTATTGAAGACATTTTCTTTTGGGGTGAAAGTGAAATAATAATGCTTAGATTTTTCATACGTTTAAAAGGTAAAAATCATCCTTAGTTTAAGGGTCAGACAAAAAATAGCTAGAAGTGACTGTGGCCTTGTATCACTAATAAATACAAAAAATGAGAATGATCCAAATAATTATCAGTCATAGAGTCTATCATTTATGGCATATCTAATCCATAAAATGTTACTCAGCCGTAAAAAGTGATAAATCATAATTTATGGGCTTTATATGTTATCTTTTCAAACAATTGAGGTAAAGAAACATACAGCATATGAAGAACACATAAAAGAAGCAAATCATAGAAGTCATTCAGCTATAATATCACTTACTTAAATTCAAAACTAGAAAAATTGAAGCGTATGTCAGGCATGGTAGTGCACAGCTATAATCCCAGCACTCTGGGAGGCTGAGGCAGGGGGATTGCTACTTTGAACTCAGCCTGGGCAATTTAATAAGTTAGCAAGACCCTGGCTCAAAAGCACACAAACAAAAAATTAACAGGTCTATATTTTTCCATTTAAATTTTTAATATATTTTACAAAATATCCTTTGGCAACACAGCTCTGCTGGCAGTTCTGTTTGAGTGGCAACATGTGAATTTATCCTGCAGTTAGAAATGTATACAGAGAGAATTCCGGGTAGGTGGGTGTGGGAGAATGCTGACTTCTTTCCAGTGTGGCCGCGTTGGTTATGACTGATGTTAACTTGTTCTTGACACACATCTCCTGACTATAGAAGCAGTGAGATGCCTGAGGACAAGTGTCATTTAGTCTCTGGGGTCAGTCTCGTGCTCCTTGTTTTGGTCTTCATCACTGCCTTCTTGTAGGTAGTCGGCTCTAGAATTCAAGATGGCTGTAGTTCATATTGCTTTTCCCACAGCTGGTTTTTCAGCCCAGAAAATCTTAGTAATTTTCTACTTAGAACAGTGAAAGGAGTCATGGAAGGAAGAAAAATAATGCTAGGATGGCTTCAGTCTGGGTAGGGAAACATTCAAAACCAAGAAGTAATTTTCACATGGGGTAGTGACAGGTATTAAATGGACTGGTAGTGCAGAGATTTCACATTTGAGAGGAGCCTTCTCTTGCAGTAAGTATAGAAAAGGTTCACTTACAGCTCCCGGGTTGGTTTTTGACAATTTATCATGAGGAAAAAACCTTGGAAGCATAGTGAGTGTGAGCAAGAAAGAAGTCAGGCTGAATGCTAATCCCCTTGAGCTTTCGTATAGGAAAGAAACCCTGTGGCACCGTTCAATGTGGAGGAATCTCCATGATCGTCTCTTAAACAACACCACAGTATACAGCGGGGTGAGCGGTTTCAGTGGATGCAAACATGTGGAAGGGCTGCAAGAACACATTCATACCTAGGAAAATTCTGTTAATGTGATGTTGTGCAAGAATTTAGCCATCAGCTAATCTTGAAACACACAGGAAAATTCATGTAGGAGAGAAGAAACCCTGTACACATAGCCGGTATCGAAGAGCCTTCAGCACAGATCTAGCCTCCATGTGTACAAGCAAACTCATTCTGGGGAGAAACCCTAAAACTGTGTGCAGTCCATGTAGGCACATTTTTAGTAAGAGAAATTCTTAGCAAGATAACTTCAGGGCAGCAGAGAAGTAATTTCAATGAGAAATCATACGCATGCAAACATTCCAAATGTAATGAATGAGAAAAGTGTTTTGAGATTTCTCATACATTACTTAACATTAAAGTCTTCACACTGGAGAAATGTACCTGTGCGTAGAATCAATATGGAAGTGTCTCCCGCTGGGGTTCATATCAGAATGCACATCCAGGGGAAACACTACATAAGGATTCCTTCAACAAGCTGGGTGTGGTGACGCATGCCTGTAATTCCAGCATTCTACATACTCAGGTAGAAGGATCTCAGACTCGGGCACACTGGACAACCTAGTGAGGCACTGTCTCCAAATAAAATTATTTTTAAAAAGAGCTAAGGATGTAACTCCGTGAAAAAGCCCTTGTTACCCTCCCGAGAAAGATTTCTTTAGCATACAGCTGAGCAAACATAATATTCTTGCCAGACAGCATCTTTTTTTAACATCTCTAAAATAAAAAGGTATGATTGTGTTAGTTGTACTTAGAGCAGAAGTTTTACTAAAGGTAAACATTGGTGACAAGTAATAATCAAAGAGACAAGCCATCTTCAAAGAAATACTAATTATGAATACTTCACAAAACAAAGGTTATTGCTGAAAAATCTTAAAAGCATGAAGCATTCTGTTGAGTATGTAGGCTAGTTTTCCTGTAATTACTGTTAATGCCATTAGTCTATCGCTAATATAAAATCTATTTTTATGCTGTTGATAAATGCTGATTACAAAGACTGAGGTAATCAGGAAATAACCTTGAATGCTAACCCAAAAATGTAGTGTATAGAATAGTGTGTCTTTTATTTCATCATTGTTGTGTGTATGTATGCTCATGGAAGAGACAAATATGATTTTGCAAGTGAATTTAAAAAATAATCTCAGTATTTCTCACAGTCCCAATAAAGTGGAAAAAAGGGTGAGAACCTGACAAGAGAGAAAAGGTTTATTGTGTTATTGCATCTCATAAAGTATATGCGGTCATTAGAAATGATTTAGAGTTCTGTCAGCTGATACCTCTCTTAGTCTCTTTTCTTCATTATTGGGACAAAATATCTGGCACCCACAACTTAAAAGAGGAGAGGTTTATTTTGATTCAGAGTTTTTAGAGGTTTCAGTGCATAATCCACTGGCTGCAAGGTGCAACAGCATGGTGGAAGGGCCTGGTGGAGGAAAGCTGCTCACCTCACGGCTCCCAGGAAACAGAGAGCCAAGGGAAGTATAACCTTCTGGGTTATCCCACAGGGATCCATCTCTACTGGCCAGACCCCACCTCCTAATAGCAAGTTCGCTCTAACTTCCAAGTTCAGTCACCTTCCAAAGGTCCAAACTATGATCCCATCAGGCTTGAGGGGGACATCTAGATACAAACCACAACAGTGCCCATGAGGTATCATTGAATTTCAAAAAGTAAGCTGCAGAGAGTAGATATAATTTCCCTGGCATAAGGGAAATAAGCTTTGTGTGCTTGTGACTATGTGAATGGATGTGTACATAACCATGCCATATATCTGTTGATTAGTAGATGTACTTGTAGCACAGAAGAAAGTTCTTATAGACATACACTACTTTATTAACATGAATAGATAAGTAAAAAAAGAACAGACAGCTATATAAATAAAGGAGAAATTCCAATATGGATGACATTCATTTAGAATTATATGTGTATTTGAGTATGTGTGTGTTTAGGCCTAAAATGACTTACAGGATTATATAGAGAGTCTGTGTTTTAAGGTAGACTGGTTATTCAATAACCAAATTACTGTCTTCTCTGGGATCACAATGAATTACCAGAAATGGTAAGGAAACTCATGAGCCCTTTGGGAAATCTTACTTGATAACCTAATACTCCAGTAGAGAAAAAATTCTGCTGAGGGAAAGCATATACGTCTTATCTATAAAGAACAAAACTAGAAGCAGAAGACAGGACTTACCTGCTAATTAAATCACCAGAACCAGTGTAAAACTTAGGGTTTTTTTTTTTTCCATAGATGAGGATGGTCTTGGTATAAGTATTATTGGAATGGGTGTCGGAGCAGATGCAGGCCTTGAGAAGCTGGGAATATTCGTCAAGACAGTAACAGATGGTGGTGCCGCCCAGCGAGATGGCAGGTAAGGTAATTACTGTTGTTAGCTACCTAAAATCATACCAGACGTTCCTGGAAATTTCTTTCAGTGGTATCTTTCTTCTTTTGAATTTCTTTTAAAACAGAATTTCAGAGTGTTTGTCAAATATGGAAAATGTGAATTTTCCACTTGAATTTCTGGCTTCTGAGTAGAACATCTACTTTAATATATATTAGATAAATGAGTGGATGGGCTTGTGTGTATCTGGCTACTTTGGTATCCATCTGTGTTAGTTACTTTCCTCTTGTTGCTGCGAAAAAATACTTGACACCCAAAGTTAGATGTGAAGGGGTGTATTTAGCTCACAGTTCATAGAGGTTTCAGTTCATAATCACCTGCCCTCAAGGCAGGGTGGCAGAAGGGCAACGGTCCATGACTATGGAAGCCGCAAAAGCAAGGAGAGAGGCGGGAGGAGCACTGCAGAGGAGAAATAGTTCAAAGTGCCCGCGAAGTGGCGGGATTAAGGTGGTCCTGACACAGTCACTCCAGTAGTGGTTTAGTAATCACGTGCCCTTAATCCTAGCATCACACATTCTGGATTTAACTATCTTCGCAAAAGACTTCATGAGGCGCTGGGGGGGGCACATCTAGACCCAAGCCACACCACCCGTCCATTCACCGATCTGTTCGATGAGAAGTGACAGAACCACAGTGTGTATATTTGAAGAGCTTGTATTGTGGAGGTCAGAATTTAGCTTTATTTCAGGAATATGGAAGCAAATTGTAATAGTTTTGGCACTTTTGAAAATTACAGGTAATATTAATTTACATTCCCACCCACAGCGTGGAAGGGTTCCTTTTTATTCCCCTCAAAGCCTCACCAGCATTTATTATTTGATTTTTTGACAGTGGCCATTCTTTCTGGAGTAAAATGGAATCTCAGGGTTGTTTTAATGTGCATTTCTCTAGTGGTCAGCAGTGTTGACCATTTCTTCGTGTATTTCTGGCCATTTGTACTTCTTCTGTGAGGTATCCATTCATTTTACTTGCCCACTTTTTGATTTGGTCTTTTATTTGCCCATGCTCACAAGCGGGGTGGTGCGTGGGGGTGGGTTCTGATTTTTTTTGCTCTTTATATATTCTAGATATTAGTCCTCTCTCTGAGGAGACCTGAAGTGAATCTTTTGCGTGAATGTTTGGTTGGCTGCATATATGAATATTTTGTGTTTAAAAAGTAGTCTTTCTTTTTTCAAAGTAGTTAGGGAAATAACCTCTTTGCTCTTTCAATGAGCTATGTAATGGTAGTAGTATTTCCACTTAGTAATTTATCACCTTTGTCCAAGTAAGCTAAATTTTGTCTATTAAATCCACCTAATTTGTCATTAATTTTGATGACAAATTTTACAAGGCATTTTTCAAGGTGATAATAATTGTTAAAATATTCAAAGAATGTTAAAGTATTATGAACCATTCCTCTTAAATGAACTGGCCGCAATCCAAACTAAAATACAAATTGATTAAAAAATCAAGAGGCACAAAGTTTTGTATTCATTACTTGAGTAGTTACTGGCGTACCAAACATAGACCCATGTATTTTTCCTTCACTTGTTTTTAAAATTACATTGCTTTCTATTAAGCTACTTAGTGATTATTTCTTCCCCCATAGTTTCATTATTTGTACTGATACTAGATTTTTTTTATTAGTCCCAATACATATTTCCTTCATTCTTTTAAATATTTATATAGTCTAATCACTCCTGCTGCTGCTGTAATAAGTACTTAATAAATACCTCTAGGAGTATATTAATCAGTTTAACAATAACCCACAACCTTCGGACCAACTAGGAGTATATTAAGAAAGGCAATTGATATGATTAACAGAATCTCTAGGATCATGTAACTAGGAGTTTTATTCCATCCCCTCAAGTTACCAGCTGTGGAATGTTTAAAAAATGACTTAATTTTCAGTTGTCTATATCACAGGATTGTTGTGAGCATTAAATAAACTTGTAAGAAGCATTCCATCATGCTGTTTGTGTGTGGTACTGTACTTGAATGTATAGAGGCAAACTTGACATTTAGAAAGATGTGAATGGTCTTATGAAAAACTATTGAAAAGTATACAAAATATGTAGAGTCATAAAGTTTTGGAGGTCGAAGATACTTCAGAGATTTTCCGATTTGTACAGTTCATTTTATATGTATAAGAGAATAAAGTGTGTACCAGAAAATGAGAAGATAAATAATTTCATTATTAGGCATGTGACAGTTTTAGAAACGTTTAAATTTTTTATTATTGTTAACTGGTGCACTCATTTGCACAGCATTTGAGTGTCTGCTATTTAAAGGATGTCAGCATACAAAAAGTATGCAAAGAAGTGCTGTTTCTAGTCAATCATTTTAAGACCTATGTTATATTTAACCTGCTGATGTAGAAAACCATTGTGTTAAGATCTTACAAAATAGCATGAAGAGTATGACACTATTCTTGCATGAATATTTATTCTATTTATTTCATTTCTCTCTCAAAAAGACCTGAAATTATATGTGTCGAAATGTGGAGTGCTTCTAATATGTGGTGCTATAAAATTTTAGCTAATATGCAATATTTAATGTTTCTAAAGATATTGAAGCCATAATTAAATATATCACCCTGGGGAGGTTACTACCTTTCAAATTTCATTTGTTGGCAAAATTAAAATTGTGGATTAGGTGTTCTCTATAGTTCTCTTTAGCTTTAAAAGGATAAGATTTTCTATTTTAGTTTTCTGGCTTGTCTTAATTTCTTAACACTTATTTCAACTTAATTTCATATATAGTTGCACTTCCTTCCAGAAATATTAAAACACTGTGTGTGTATATAATGTATTTTATAAATAAAATGTGTGTATAAATATATTTACACATAAATTTCTTTTCTCTCCTTTTTCCCTGCCCCCTATATAAGAAGCTTTTGCGTTATGGTTGTTTTTAACCCTTTCAAATGGCTTATACATTCTCACCTTGCTTTGAGTCTTTTCAAAAATTTACCTTAGGTACTTTATCTCCTGAGTTACCCTGTGTGGTTAAAATGTGCGGGATATTCCTTATTCTTTCCTGCTACGTCCTGCATTCTACAACTTTTTTTTTAGACAGAGTCTCACTATGTAGTTGAGAGACTGACTTGGAACTCACTGTGTAGCCTATGCTGGTCTCAAACTCACAGCAATCCTCCTGCCTCAGCCTCCTGAGTGGTGGGATTACAGGCGTGTGCCACCACACCCGGCTCCCTACAGCTTCTTTTATCAAGGTTTCATGTCTGTGCTGTCTCATATGTAGTCCTGTCATGGGAAGTGCTCAATAAATATCTTTTTTTTTTTTTTGCACCCTCACCAGGGATCAAATGCAGGACCTTGCACTTGCAAGGCAGCCAGTGGCACCACTGAGCTAAATCCTTAGCCTAATAAATATCTTTTAAATGAGTGAATCTTTTTGCTTTGTTGCTTTTGTTTTGTTTTTGAGACAGAGTCTCCTTGCTATGTACTAGTTCAGGCTGGTCTTGAACTTTCTGTGTAGCCCAGACTGGTCTCAAACTTGTAGCTATCCTCTTGGTTCAGCTTCCCAAGTACTGGAATTATAGGCGTGCACTACCATGCCTGTCAAGTCCTTGTGATTTAATCACTTCAAAACATTTATTTGGGCCTAATGTATTTCTTTGTTTTAGTTTTTATTTTTGTGTTACGCTGCTGAATTGTATGGTAAGTCACATGGAATGTAGCTGGCAAGGTTATTGATAATATTGTGCTATAGAGGCAAATTAAACATGTACTTGAGATGAGCTTCTATTTTTAATTTTCAAGTTTTGCATTCATTTTAGAACATTACCCTTCAGGTTTAGGGGACGAGATACCAAATAGGAAATTAAGGTGTCCTTATTCAGGGGAAGAGGAGTTTGTCTCTGACCATCCTTGGGGTAATACAGTGTGTAGAACAGATAAGAAATCCTGTCCTGGTGCTCACTCGGCAGACCCTCACTCTCTCAGAACCCGCCTGGACCCCCAGGGACTCTCAAGCCAGGAGAACCCTGTATATAGGTTGTTGTAATTTGTAGCTGTCATAATTTTTTCTTGATGGTTTCCTTTCTGTGTACTCTTTTTTTTTAACCTTTCTAACTTAATATTTGGCTTGTTCTCCCCTTAGGGAGTTGGGGTGTGGGTATTTTGATATATATTTAGGTTTAGATTTTCGCTAGCAATTTGGGGAGATGCCCTTTGACCAACACTTATTAATGTTGCTTCACCTGGTCTCTGTGCTATTCATCCTTGGCTCTCTGTTGACATAAGCACTATACGGTAGTGGTGGGTTCCCCCATCCCAGAAACATCATGAAAATAAGTAGCTGTCCAGTCATTAAGGAAACCCCATAGTAGTCCAGCTTATGTATTTTCATTAGCTTCACACACAATGATTCTGGTTTTTGAGTCCCAGATTGAGGACTCTCAGCAATATTAAACTGAGGGTGTCACCCATACCTGTTGACAATAAGCACAGGAAAATTATTGAGAAACTGGCCAGGATGAGACAGCTGCATGCAAACTAGCTGGTTCATTCCATACGTTTCAACCCGGAAGCCCGTGTGTGCAAGGGAAACCAGCTGTTTCCTCTGCCATTCTGGAAAAGTTTTGGAAAGTCCAGTTTATCCCTAGGACTAATCATGCTCTATACGCTGGAATGCAACATCTGTCCATTTAGTTTTCATCGCCAGGATTCATCGCTTACCTTTTCCATGTTTTTCATTATCGCCAAGATTTGAGAGATGTATCAGTCTCGTTATCTGTGAGGTTGCATTGAAGTCATCCTCACATGGGGTAAGAACGGCAAAGGCACGGAGTGCAGAATCTGTCCCTTGTGGTAGTGAGCTTCGAAGTATGAAAGGCTCTGCTAGCTCGGGGCGTGGTAGGTTGGAGGAGGAGTCTATGGCAGAAGGGACCTGGACTGCTGCCCTTTTTAAAAACCATTTTTTCTTATCTTCTCTAGTTCTCTTTGCTTTTCCTCCTCCTTGTGCCC